GTGAATTTTTAATTGTTTATTAGCATTTCCCAAAAATAAAATAATGATATTACCTACGTTCATTTTGAGTTTGTGATAATACAGAAAAGCTTTAATATTTTTTCATTTTTTTTTCATCAGGGGGACGAATATACTAACGGGTTTATGCCAAATTTAAGTTTATTACTTGAAGGCTGGATAAATGTATGCCAATACAATATGCGCGGCCTGGCCCAATGCCCCCTTCACTCCCCTGTCTTCCCTTTAACTTACTAATCTTCAACCATCAGAATAGATAATAATAAAAAAAAAAAACAATGCAAATTGCCATCATAGATCCACATATAGAATTAGATATTAATCTATTTATTATCCTTATCTCCAAGATTCAATGAGCGCGGCATGATATCAACCAATAAATAAATAACCCTGTAGTTTTGTAAAATTTGAAATATTTATTTATAGTAATTAATTTTCTTAATAGTTTACAGAATTTAATATATGTTGTATAATTATATATAGGTATTATGTGTGCTAATAGTGATCATTTGAACAATAACTTGTAAAATAAATTTATTCTCAAAAATAGTAATATTTTTTAAGATAATCGTTATTAAGTTTAACCAGTAAACCTGTGGAAAGAATTATTTTTCGTATTAGTGAGTTGAAGAAAAATGAATGTATACAACTAGTTTAAATAAGAAAATATTTTTAAAAAAATAATCGAAAAGAGTATCTATTTGAAACTAAGTTAAAATAACTAAAGTTAATTTTTTTTTATCTTATCTAATATTTATTAAATTTAAAATAATACTACGAAAATTAATTAAGCTGTTTAAGTTATATTCATGTAGATAATCATTTTCTATGTTTTGAAAACTACTYGTTAAAATAGTATTATAGAGATGTTTATTTTCTCATATTGTTTTATTATAAATTTTCTTTTAGTTATGTATATCAAATAATAAAAAAAAATATTAAAATATGAATTTTATTTATGGTGCATCAATTTTATTAAAATTATAAAACGGAATTTATCATGTTACAACTTAAAACTATCAATTATAACTAAGCAATATTGTTGTCAATAACCCTTATCATTACCATTTGTTTTGGTGCCGAGTTGAATACAAATTAATAATTACTAAATTTATATAATTTACAAGAAAACTATTAAAATTATTGACATTTGTTATTTTATTAATGCTTTTTTTGTATGTTGTAAATGCTAAATAAAGGTCACTTTATTGATGATGTTTTGTTGCCATAAAAGATTTAGTCAAGCATTTTTTTTTTTTGTAATTTTTTTACCTATAGTTATGAAAATTATCAACAGAGACAGCATCAATACCTTGCTATCTGAGTTAGGCTTTGGATATTTAATAAATATTTAACACAGTACTTAATGTTTAATTTAAAATTATCGCTCTTAATTGTAATTGTAAATACTTATATCATGTTAAAATAAGTCAAAAAAAAATTATGTTATTTATCCATAGATGTAGAATCTACATCTATGGATAAATAACATAATGTAGATAGCCTTTATAGGCTAGGAATGTCTTATTATAAAAAAAATTTTAATTTAAAATTGTTAAATTATTAGTATTGAAAATTGAAATAATAATGTTATTAGTTTACAAAATTAAATTATGACATGAACAGGTTATTATGTTTATATTATCAGTGGTTAGATCATTTAGATTCTAACCTATAATTATATTTATTAACTATTGTTTGACCTTAAGTTTCTGTTAAAATGTGTTTAATAAACTATTCAATATAATTATTATGTAAACAATTCATATTTTCTATATATGATTAAGAAAATTAATTTTCTAAATTGTGTTATTAAAGTATTGTAATTATATTTTGCCAAGTTTTTGCACGTCAAAAGAACGTGATCCAAAAGGGGAACGTGACATTTATGGACAGACGGGTTTTTGTTTGTTTAGGACCGTTTGTTTTTTGTAATTATCAAACTCTAGTCACGTTATTAATTTTAGCTGGTCGTTCATTTTCACCAATCGTGTTTTTGTTTTTCAAAGGAAAGTTAATCCTTTATTGATCTGGTTATTGCAGATATTATAAAAAAATCCACATAATAAATTAATTTAGTTTATGTTAACATTTTAAGTATTATAGACATCTTTCTGTCTCGGGTGTAACGCGTAATGATCGCTTTAAAGATATATAGGAGCAATATATTTAATATGTGGTTATTATTTGGTTACACCTTCTTGTTATCGAACAACTAATTGTTTTATAATTGACCAATCTTTAATACTAAACAATATTATTTTTGAATTGGACTGAGGTCGGCATTATTATTACACTGATTATTGATTAATTCTTTGGTAGTTAATTAATTTATAGTACCTCATCTACTATAATAGTATTAAACTATACACTTAATTTAAAATATTCTTGTAATAATACTGTACCTACCCGACAAGTTAACGTTATTTAAGTTATTATTAATTTATCAACAATGTGACGATTCATAACTAACTAATTACAAAATAGTGTCAAATACTTAGATATTTAATTTTTCTACGCGCGTTGCCGCGTTCATGGATCATGTTTATTAGGGATATGAATATTAATCGTTAAGCTAAAAAATATATTCACTCATGATGTATATGATGTGAAAACTATATGAGTAAAAGTAAATTCGGGAATGTTGGCTATATATTATCATTATGTTATAAGTATATACGTTTTGTTTGTCATGCATTAGTCTTTCGGCTAAGCGCCTATGGATTTTTCATGATCGTTTGGGTAATCCCTAATCTTTGACAAGGTCGCGAAGAAACTGTCAAGACGTCGTTGCTATCTTTCAAAAACACATTCTTTATTGGTCACGACTTTTTTTATTTTGGTAGTGACGTTGGGTTTATGGAGTTTGTAGAGAAACTCCATTTGGGAATGCCAGAAATCAACACTGTGATCTTCAATGGATGAACAATTTATAGATATCTTATTATAATTATTATGAGATACGTTTTTTTCAAATTATATCTGTATAATGTTGATAATATACATGATATTATGATCATTTTATGAATCGTGAATAATAATAATAATAATTCTTACAAAAGTATAGATGACCAACAGGCGTTTTTTTAAAAATTGAATGAATGACTCATACTAATAGTATCTACTTATGTATGTGTAGCGCGTATATTACAAATAAACTATGTTTATGCTATTAGTTATTACAGTCTTATCATATTATATTGATTTCATATTAATTACTATTTACGAATTATCTGATGTCAAAACTAAGTAGTGTACTTATAACTAAGTCGTAATTGGCTACATTAACTGTTTTGCTAACTGKATCTTAAAAATAGTAATTGACTATTATTATTCACGTTTTTAGGTTTAATACATCTATTTTTTATACGTAATCATTGGTTCGTGATTGTTTGATAATAATTAAAAAATAGGTACTTTACTATACTTGATATTTAGTGTTTCCTTATAGTTTCAAATGTTATATTTATATTAATAATTTTTTTATGCTAATTCCATAAAACGTAATATATATTACTTTTTGCGAATTAAATTAATTTTAGTGCAGCTGAATTTATTTATTTGAAAAAATATATTTATTACGTAGACAGTCACAAATTATTTTATTGATGATTGTATAAATAGTTAAATGTTTTGGAGTAATGTTGAGTAGTGTTTAAGTGCACATATTTTAAATAGTTAGAAATGTACCAAAAATCAGAAAAAAAATGTTCACTTGTAATAATTAAATAGCTTATAATTATAGGTAGTCCTTTGAAAATTATTTGTTAGCTATATATTTTATCTTTTGATTTATGTATAATTATAAGCACGAATATAAATTTGTATTTTTGTAGGTTTGGTTATCTATTGACTACATTCAGAATTAAAAATTAATTTAACATAATTTTTTGATTACTTAATAAAAATAAATACTTAAAAAATTAAACATAATATTATGCAAGCAATTAAAGAGTAATTGTAAAATACTTTGAAATCAATTTTTAACTTGATGGATATAAATTATATATTTTTTCCATTTTTTTTATAAATAACAATAATATGTCTTGTACCTATAATTCTTTTTTTTAGAAATCAATTAAATCGTTTCTTTTTCTTTTTTAAGATTAAAATGTCTGTATTGCATGCTGTTACTAGTCAGTTTACAAATTACAAGATTCTATTACTAATTATAATTAGTTTAAGATATTGTGAAAGGTTTATACCTACTGACATTTTAAAGTTAGTAATTTTTAGTCTTCGCTTTGATCTGGTATAAGATCTCGTGGTAAACATGGTTTTAAACGCCTATTTTTCGTTTTGATTCCTAGATTGTAAAACCGTGCGCCATCGGATGTTTTGAGTTTTGCGTGAAAGTTTTGGAATTAATACTTATAATATATATATTTTATGTTTTTATTTTTCGTTGCTAAGGAGGAATCGATAATAACTTAGCTATAAGAAAGACCTCTTGACGAAGAGAATATGGCATTTATCTTAAAGTTTGGTACTTCAAATTTGTGGGTTAAAATCCAATGCGAGTAATTGAAAACGTTCATCTCGAGTTATGACTCAAAAATAAAAAAAACTACATTTATTACGAAATGCGTTGATAATTTTTATATTAATATCAAAGCTGTAATTTCTTCTCAGGATTAGGAGCCTACTATTTTAAGACTTAAATTTTTATTGTCATCTTATTTTGTCCAACGTTTTCTAATGAGGATCTAACTTAAATTAAATTATATTTCTTTCCCATCAAACCTCGATAGTTACTAGTTTATTACTGATTAATGATCATGTGTTACATAACGATGCCGATTGACGAAGTTACATTTGTAATTTAGGCACCTATATTATAAACATAATAGATAATATGTTTTATATAATAACCTTGAAATTTTCTGCACGGTTTATGTCTTAATCATATATTTTAAAGTATTTGTTTAAAATCTATGTACATTATATTATGAGCTCCTTTAATGTTGTGTTTTATCTCACAGCTTAGAATTCCATCTAAAGCTGCATTCAAATTGAGACCACGTGATGTTATCGTGAATTTGAAAAAGAAACACATTTTCGTTGGAATAAAGGGACAACCACCGATATTGGACGATGAATTGCAGCATGAAATTAAACTTGAAGAAACCACGTGGCTACTTGAAGACGGAAAAACATTCCTTATCAACATTGAAAAGGTAATATATTTATATTGTATATACAATTTTTCATTGAATCATTACAGTACTTCATATAACGGATTTGACTTGCAACCCAAAGAATTAGAAATTGTTTATTTCTAATCCATTATTGTAACGTGTGATATAACCGTTTTTGATTTTTATCCCAAGATTATAATTAAAGTACAGGGAATTTTTCTTAAAGTACCAACTAAATCCAATTCGTTAACAGAAATACGTTCGAAGTAAAATATTGAAGCAATTTTTTCTGCTATAAATTTGTTTCAGCTGAACAACCTAAAAAAACTACCCTCCTCCTGTCTAGTTTAACCTTGGGATCCCATAAGGAATATGTACAATTTTAATCCTCATAATTATTCTTTTAAATTTAATAAATATTTAAGCATACATAATATTTTAGTTGAGTTATTATGGATATTATTAACGAATTTGTGTCTTTTTTAAATGTGTATGTATTGGATCCTCGTGTATTCTCTTGAATTATATCTTATAATAGCTATCAAATATATGTAAATTTATATTTTAGGTGGAAGTAAATATTATCCTCCCATATTGGAAGGTAAATAGTTTTTAGAGGTATTGTAGGTATCACATTAAACGTTTTAATTTTAATTTATTATTTTGATTTAACAAAATGTCAACTGCAACCGTAGGTTTTTATTAAGTCCAGCTCATAATTGTTTTTGGATTGCCATTATTTATTATAACTTTCAAATTAACACCAAAACACATCATTATCTTGTGCTGTTATCCAATCAAACTGAGTACTTATACACTCGGTTTACGTTGCTGAATTTCATATTAATTTTAAATAATTGGTCATTGTTTTAATTAAGCTGAGATCATAGAACTTAAAAGTTGCAGTCTTAGATTTATGTAAATTGTAATTCACCACTAGTTTTCAAGGAATTTAAATATATTTATACCTTATAATGCTTATATTATATATACATATATGGAGCAAGGCAGCCCGCAGAAAATTTTCTCGGGGGGGGGGGGCAGTGAAAAATAATACACTTACCATAAATTCTGTTTTTTATATTACATCGTCAAAAAAATTATTTATTTATTTTAATATTGCAAGTATATACATATATCTATAAATGTTTAATATTATGTTGTAGTTATAATAAATAAGCCTGTATTATAAAAATGAAAATAATAATAAATAATAAATAATTATGACTCATTGATCATTATCGTCAAATAAAAATTGAACGCGCCGTGGTTCCATGCAGAAAAGCTTAATTGTATTTTCAACAATGTCAGACTGTTGACTTTTTAAAATATCACTATGAACGTACATAAGTGCTAAGATATACTTATATATAGTTATATCTTATATCTTATATAATATCTTTAATCGTGCCGAATACCTAGTGATATTGAAAACTGACACAATTTTGTGTCACCTTATCAGTTATCAGTCCTCCTTATCGCTGACTGCTATATATAATGCAAATAAATGCAATAAAAATTAGGTAATATCTTTATTAGCAGGGGGGGGAGGGTCGGTGGCCTTGACATGAAGCTCATACTATACTTTCTTTTAACGGTATATCTCATTTTTATGACGGAAATATCCAATTTCTATTTCCAAAGACTAAATTTAAATGGGATGTTTATCATATTTTATTCTATTTAAATAGAGAATCTATATTCTAAGTATCTCGGACCTCGCATTATTCCTTAATCTTCATATTATAGGTTACGCCCCTAATAAAGTTTAGTATAAAACACAGAGATAAAATACACTTCTCTGTAAAATGAGAATACAAATTTAATTTGTAGCTCATAAAATTATATTATAGTAATCAAATTCGTATTAAGTAAAAATGTATTTCTCAATATATTCCTTGGCCGATTGGACATATCTGTTCAATTTTAGCTTTAGTTAAAGCATAATTAACGACGCTAAATTATATAAAATAAATTTTTAAAATGTTGATTTCTTGGAAACATCATTGATTATGTTTATAATATAATATTATGGATATTAATTTTTAAAAACATATTTTATAAATGTAATATTTCAGACAAATTAATTTTGTGCAATTATGGCTATTATAATTTTATAGGGGGTTACGGTTGGTTGAGGAATTCGTGTTTGTTGGTTGAAGGTTTCGTCACTAAAATCATGGGTGACAACCCTTCCGAGAATTAGCGACGTCGGTCGATGCTTGACCTCAGAAGACGATAGTGACTGGGGCTAACCCCTGAGCCATTCCAGGCCTCAAAAATTAATTTTATATTCACTCATTAATAACGAACAAATTTAATAAATAGAATTAATATATCTTATTAAATAAAATAATCATTATTATCAATCAATTACCAACTAAATTTTTTAATTACTACATCTATATAAAGCTTGAAAAGGTAGTATCGTCTGTTTCGTTACCTAAATCTGTATAACAAAAATACCTAATTATATAACGTGCGTTTCTATCTATAAGATCAATGTAGTTACTGTAAACTGTATGTAATATCATTGATTAATACCATTTATAATCAATGATAATATGTTTCAAATTTTTATATAAACTGTTAATACTGTCAACCATTTTTTTTTTTTATTATTAGGGGAACTCGCGGCAACATAGGCCATTGGATGTGGGGTAGTACGGTAGGGGTTATTTTGTATATTTGTTTGTAGGTTTTTAAATGGGTAGGGTTGTAACACGTGTTTGTGTATGTGTGGCAAAGATATGTTGCTAAAAATCCGGGGTGGTCACCCATCCGGGAGCTAGCAACTGCGGCCGGAACGCTCGCTCAGAGCGTTTCCGCAAATTGAGCGTACGACTGCGCTTCACCAAGCCACAACCATTTTTTATTCTTTATTTAAAAGCCAAAAGACAGTATTAAATAATTTATTATACACTAAGAATTCAATTTTTTTTTGGAAATTATAGGACATCAAAGGATTTTTAAGAGAAAGTACCAAAAAGTTTTGATATAAATTTTGTAATAGAAATATTACAGTTAAAAAACTTTAATACTTATCATATCTGGTTATTTTGTACTTTAATGATAAAAATATCCAATAGAGGACACTTATATAGCATAATTATTGTATTTTTATCTATTCGCCAATTTAAGAGAGAATTTTTATTATTTTGTATCCATATAACTAAATCGCTAATGTACAATATCAATACATAAGTTTTTTCAGTCATATAAACTTGTATTTTTTTTTTTTTAAATTTTATTGAATACGTGTTTGGTTGGTGGGAGAAAAATTAAAGATCAAGTTCTGTGTTCGTTTCATGAAAATGTATCTCTATTCTGTAATTACACTGCGTGCGTACAAATTAATTTCGTTTCCATACTTCATAGGCTTAGTAATACTTATAATACTATACGTTTGAGAATTAAAATATCAGTTTCTTAAAATAAATTAATCAATGCTTTATGAAAATATAATAAAAATAAATTATCTTTTTTTTCTTATTTTTAATCTAGAATTTATAGAAATATACAATCTATATACAATATACATAAATAAAAGTATAGTAAGTATAACGGATGTTTTCCCCCTAAATTACGTTATAATGTAGTGGCTTGAGTGACTAAAGGGAAGAACCAACCAGTGAAGGCATTTCGGCGTAAATTAAATGTTCAATTGAATAAGTCGAAGCCATTCGTCCATGCAAATAATTTAATTAATAATAATTTAATTGCATAATAATAATATTAGGTAATACTTTTATTGAAATTAAATCCTATTCACATGTGTCGCATATTATGCAATTTCTTATTATTTCTATCTAAACACTCATAATTMTCCTAAAGTATACCTAGATTTATTTTATTATAAAATAAAATATTATATACAAAGTAAATGTTATACTACCATAGTGTTATGTTAATAACAACCGATCATATAAAACTAACAAATATAATACTTATGTGTTTTCTTTTGTGGTTGGTATTATTATAAGACTTGCGAATTCATCTAGTTTAATTGGTGCATGGTTTATTTTATTACAACTTTTATTGAGTAAAACAGTCATTAACATTTTATACACGTATCCCACGTAGTCATTTTAAATACAAACGATTCACAAAGTCATAAACGATATTATCACACTCGATTTTGTTTTGGGATCAAAAAGAGTTCGAAACATCCTACATAGACTATAATATAAGCCCCAGACCTTCGTTTCTGAGAACTCTCTTTAGTGCATGGCAATGGACATTAGTGTTTATTATATATTTGAATCATATCATTCGCAGAACGATCTGAGCGAAATTCAATTTACAAAACGTTATTATTAAATTATAATTGCGCATAATGCATAAACAATTTACTAATACAGAGTGTCCCGTTTGATTTACCCATTTCGATATCTCCTGAGATAATAAATATATTATAATTTACATATTATATTTTTTTTTCGATTTAATAAAAAATTTTTATCAAAAAGTTAAAAAAATTATTTTTTATTTTTKAATTTTTAAAAAAAAATAAAGATACTTGCCTATTTTATAGAATTTATTTTGTTAAAAATTTTAACATTTTATTTTCATTAATCTCGTGATTTTTAATCATTTTTTTAGTTTATAGATAAAACGGTGAGTCCCCCTACATCTAATGGGTATATCCTCACGGGACATTATATACTAAGTAAATAAATATACTGAATATTCAACATATCATGTATAGTTATAATGTATACCATATAATCAAATGCTTGTACTATAATATCATCTCAAACCTACAAATTGTATTAAATTACATTCATTTATAAATATAATATTAATCTTATATAATTTATCAATGTATCTTTATTAATGTTAATGTTAGCCAATAACCTTAGTTATTGAGGCTTACATAAATAAAAAAAAATTAATATTTATCAAGTCATCAATTTAAATATAGATATAAGAGGTATACTTGCATCGGAGTTACTTCAACGTGAATAAATTTGTTGGAATATTGTATTTATAATTTTGTATTTTTTTCTGTCATTAATAAATCCAAAATTAATGAAAAAAAAAGTTGTATTAATTCGTGGAATTAAATGCCCCGTTTAGAACAATTCGTATATTGTTTTATCTTATTTTATAAATTCTGAGAGGAGTGATATGAATAAAGTATTTATTTTTTGGCCTGTCATATTTTTTGGAATAGTAAAAATGCTTTGATTTTCAACATTGTGAGTGGATATCAGTATAATAAATTTGATCTAGTTGATTCTTTAGGTGAAAAGAAAAATATAGAATGTAAATGATAATACAAATTTTCTTCGATCAAAAAGCTTAATAATTTGGTACGGCAGTAAAATTCCTCATAAATTATGTATACAGGAATTTAAAAAAAAATTGATTGTAAATCTATAATAATTCATTACGAAATTTGTCAAAATCACTAAATTTTGTAAATTATTTTTAATTACCAGTTATTACTGAAACCCAAAGATGTATAAGTAAAACTTTTTTGTAAATGGACATTTTAAGTTCAAAATTTGACAAATTGGATATTAAAATAAAGAAAAGCTATTTTCTTATAATTTAAAATTTGTAGTGACAATTTACGTGTTTTGTTATATTTTACTATACGCTTTATTCTATATACCTATATGTACATTTTGTCAATAATTTTATACATATTATATTAATTAATTGTTATACTGTTTAAATAAATGCTGTAATCAATAAGCTATATAACTTTTTCAGGAAAACTTTAAATAAATTTAAAAAATAATTATACGCTATTACATTTAAAAAATACTTAGATAAGTTTTAAATTATTCGGCTGTTGTCTATAGTACCTATATTCCGTGTTACTAATAGTAAAATAGTAAGTAAGTCATTGTATAGACTGACAGATAATTTCTGCTCAGGGTCATTTTTTGTATGCGATGATTGATCATTCAATTTAAATTTAACTCATGACTGACTGAGTCAATGACGATGAAGTACACTGTACTTTTAATATATACAGCATAGTGGTTACCTACCTATACTTGCTCACTTTTTTTATAGGGTTAAAGCTACGAGCATTTAATTTCGATGTGTTTTAGGTAAATAAAATGGAATGGTGGTCGAAACTGGTGCTTGCAGATACTGAAATATCTACCAAAAAGATCAACCCAGAACCTTCCAAACTTTCCGACCTAGAGGGCGAAACTAGGTCCATGGTGGAGAAAATGATGTACGACCAGCAACAAAAGAATATGGGATTACCTACATCGGATGAGCAGAAAAAACAGAACGTTCTTCAAAAGTGAGTTTATTTTATGTTTTTACCTTCGTTGTTTTAACTGTTAATATTTTTACAGGTTTATGGAACAACATCCTGAAATGGACTTTTCCAAGTGTAAATTCAATTAAACCAGCTCAAAACCAAGAAAAAAAAATATATATAAAGAACAGCATTAAATGAAAATTGAAATAATAAAAATAATGTTATCACTTACAGTTTCTTTAGATGAATTCAAAAGTTTTTGGATTAAAATAAAAGTATTGTAAATTTGATTGAGGTTTTGTGTTTTTAAACTGAATAGTACAATATTTTTCTACCTTCTAATAATATCATATTATTCTTTATACCGCTCGACGTTATATTCTGTCAGCAACCTAGTGCAGCAAACTTCGTATCTGTATTGTGCTGCGCACTAGCAATATTATGATTTAGAATCAATATCTCATCAATTGATTGTACATATCATATGCACAGGGCCTTAGCTGGAACAAATTTTCGTGGGGGGTTTTAAATCAAATAATATTTTCATTTTAAGTAATTAAAAAAACATTTATTTAAAAAAAAATCACATTTTACTATGTTATTAATGCATTTTAATTATTTTAAAGTAAATTTATATTATATACAATTATTAATTTTAAAAATATTTTATAGCACAAAATC